TTTTCAGTCATGACAATTTGTCAAAATGTTTATTGGAAAATTGCTATGTGGTGTAGGAAGGGTGCATCTGGAATCGACTGCTAGGTTACATTTCTGCTCAATGCCAAATAGCTTGATTAGGAATCATAAAACCCCAGCCTGTGCCCAATGATATATTTATTTGGGATGTGTAGACATGGGAAAAGTCAAATATGTTATGTTTAATAGCTGATGAACAGGAACTAACAACAGCAAATTTCATTATCTTTGAGATAAAGGGCTATGTGTGGTAATTATTGTTAAAGTAAAAAGCAAAAAATGGCTTCCAGTTATTGAATTATAGTTGGGATTGATTTAACATCCACACACTAACTCAGATTTGAATTTAAAAGGTTTGCAATAAAATTCCTGTTTAGAAATTGAGTACATTGTAGTTTTATTACTACACTAGATATCCTTGTGTCTTAACCTTTTCCCTTAGAGTTATTTTAGTTCAATAAATAAAACCTCATTAGACTATTCCCATTTCAACGAGTTTATTAAATTTTGCAGGAGTAATTAGCATAAGCTGTGCTAATTTTTCTGGAAGACTAATGACGGTGGTTCTTAATTAGCTTTACTTTGTAGGAATCAGAAAAGAGGATAATGACAAAAGTCACGTAGGTACTCTGAATTGGGAACCCACTTTTCCAGAATCCACAAAACTTCTATTTCTCTGTGGAAACTTTGTTATGCATGCTTTAACCATACAAATTAAAAGTGAAGACTTCTATTCTGTATTTAGTTGGCTGCTGTTAGGATCCTGGCTTGGTTGGAAAAAAAAATCTTTATTTTTCCTAGACTTGTCTTGGAGTGGCGAGATGGATGGGTGAATACAGATGGCCTTTAAAAAGTCCCTCTTTCTTCAAATTCTACCATACAGTTCCTTTCACAGGAAATACTGATGTTTCTGTCTAGAATGTGTGGGGCAGGGATAGTTTTATATTGTTCTTCAATTTAGAATCATGTGATGGATGAAATAGTTCATCAACTAAGCAAATGAAGGCCTAAGCTCTTAGGGCTGTAGGTCCTTAGCTGTCAACACCCAGAATTTGTTTTTAAGGGATAGAAATAATACAAGACAGACTCACAAAGTGTGTCAGTTAAAACCCAATCCTTTCAGGATTGTATATAATGTGGTTCAGGTAACCTGAAAATTTTGGGTCTCCCAAAGCCAGCATTTAAAACTTGGGTTTTTAAAGCCCACCAACTGGTCTAATGATTGGGGTTTGCTGATTGCCACAATCTTGCCTTTCTTTTCCATTGTAAGACTCTGCATCTATGCTTAGAGCTTGATACAGAGCACAAAGTATGACAATAAAGAAAATATATGACTTTTGTGACACAAATCCCCTAACCTATTTGGAGTTAGTTCAGTCAACACTTAACCAGAGCGCTCCTAAAAAAAAAAAAAAAAAAAAAAAAAAAAAAAAACAAAAAAAAAAAAAAAAAAAAAAAAAACAACAACACACAAAATAACAAAAACAAACTAAACAAAAAGGGAACCCCCCCCACCAAAACCAAGGTTTGTTTTTTCCAGAATGGACATTTAAGTAATATCAACTGGCTGTGCAATGATTACAATGCAAAATGGACTTGTCATTTAGGAAATAACCGGAATGCTCATGTCACCAGCCACAAGTCATTTGAATAGAAAATCTTGGCCATGCTTGCATTGTTCAGATAGAAACTTTGATTGAAGGTCATGTGTGAACCTAAGGGGTCAGGTGGAGAGGTGAGACTTTGTAGAGAAGCAAAGTGTTACCTTATCATCACATTAACTTTCTTGATTAAGTTGTTGCTCATGTTTTTACATGGCTTTGTGAACATCAACCTGATGGGGAAACAACAGTGACATGTAAACTCAGGACACTCATTGGTAATTTTTAACCATTGGACATGAGTGAGAAAATGTATCACCATGAGTTTCTGAAAGCATATGAGTCTTTAGCAAGCAACTTCTGTCTTTTGTCATCAATGATAAATCCCAAAATTCACACAAAATGATTTTGACTTTGTGTCTCATAGGTTCTCAAACTGGGGGTCACAACTCCCCATAGGGGGTCACATATCATATATCCTTTATATTGTAATTCATAACAGTAGCAAAATT